AAAAAGCAGCCCCCACACAAGGCCGTAAGGCCTTGTGCAGCTTGCATAAGAGATCATGAGACATTTTACCACACTACCCCAACAGGAAAGGAGGTACTTATTCATTCCTCCTTTGCCAGCAAGATATAATATTGTGGTCCTGAGAATACCTTCTGTGGAAGACCATGCTGAGCCTGATAGCTTGCTATTAACAAAGGCAATGTGTCAGACTCCTGACACGTGTATTTTGTCTTCTGTCCTGTACATCTCTTGTCCTTCCTAGACACGGCTTCTTGGAACTGTGAACAGATATTATAACCAGACTTAAATTTGTTACAACTGACAGGCTGTGTCATTTGGTTGAGTACTAATGTCCAAAAGTGTTCTTAACAGATGCAAGATGCCCTTCTACCGTGTGGGAAACTGTTCAGTAAGATCAAAAGAAAATTGTCTTTTCTCTATGGTCAGAATTTGTAATCTGAATCCAGATCCTCAATTGCGTGCTGAAATCAGCTGGGTTGATACTGTGTTCTTTCAAAGTCCATTCTGTAGCAATATCAGCATGTTGCATTTCAGCATGATCTTTTTCCAGCTGATGGCATTGAAACTCATCAAGAGTTTCCTCCATTCTTAACCATCTGGCAGAAATCCAGCTGGTAAATGGACTTTTCAACATCATCTTATTTTGAGGCTTGTGGAACTTCTGTTTTAAGCTATTATTTGGCTTGTTTGTTGTGTTTAAGACCATCTTTCTAATGACTGTCATCTCACAGAGAGTTAGTGTGTTCCAAGCACTTGGTGGCTAGTTCTCGCCTCACCATACATATCCTTTTATATGGACCAGATGATTCCGATACCTCATCCAAAGTTCATCCTTGGAGCCATCTCAATTTCATGTGCATCAGTCAGTTAATCTACCATTTGTTTTCTCAAGCTTTGCTCAATTCCAGGAGAGAAATTGGATTCTTTCTACACTTCCAGAGACTTGCTTTTTTGAATGGGCCAAATACTTTGAACGCTTCCTCATCACTTTGTGGCTGTGTCTGGCTCACAGAAAGACAAAACCCTCTTGTCATAAAGAATTTCCAAGTTGGTCATACAGTGATCACCAACAGTTCCAGGTGTTGATGTGCCTGTCTCTTCAGACATTGGGGCATATTCTACCTGGCATCTTCAGTTTACTTCAAAAAGAGATCTGTAGAGCAGCAACCTGCTCACTTTTGTCAGATATTGTTTGTTCCCTTCAAGCATTATCTGACTGATGTGGTTGGCACTCATTCTCACCATCCAGAGGAGATCCTGCTTGCCAGTCACCTGAAGTGGAACGCACAGTGAAACGTCTCAGAGAGAGAAATTATTTTAACCTACAGTAGTTAGTTCAGAGCACAAAAGGATTCACACTGACTACAGTAGCTCAAATAACTATAGTTATTATTACAGAGCATATAGTTGTTTTCTTCCACCTTCACTTCTCTTCTTTCTCTTCCTTTTGTCCTGAACATCATACATTTCCTTAGTCTCCCTTTTCTGTCCTCCCTGTTGAGTAGATATGGTGCAACAGAATGGCAGTCCCATTGTATTAGGTGGTTTGCAGACGTATACAGAGAGAGGCAGTGTTGTGCCTGGAGGCCCCCAGCAAAATGTGGCTACTGCATCTCCCTCAAGGACAAGGCATATCTCAAAGGAGATTGATGTGTAGTTTATGCCTCTTTCAGTTAGGTTAGTGTTCCATTCTTTTATTGTGCCACTTCAGCTTCTATTTAAAGTTGGTCAACTTTGAATACTCAATGTATTTTTATATATGTTGCATATTACTTTACATTCCCATTTTTTAGAAAGAGTTTATATAGCATGGGGAGAAAATAACTTTTTCTAATAGGGTTCGTGGTTCCTATCTATGCTCATTTATTTCTCCAGTGTAGATCAGTTTAAAAGAGAATATAGAATGGATTTAATTCTGTTCATATTCCAGCAGTGTGTTTTCTCTCTTACCCTAAGCCAGGGGTCAGCGACCCCTGGCACGCATGCAGAGCATGGCATGCAAGGCCATTTTTCTTGGCACGCGTTGGGGCCAGAGCCGGGGCAGGGAGGCAGCACCTGTTTGTAGCCTCCCGGCTGCAGCTGGCCCCGGCTCTGGTTAGCTGCTGATACCTATGGAGCTCGGGGTGCTCCCAGCAGGCGGCTGGGAGGGTGGTTGCTGCCTCTCCACCTCAGCTCAGGCCCCGCGTGGCCCCAACGGGGTGCAGTGCTGGCACCTACTGCCTTCCCAGGTCTGGGAGACAACAGGGGCTCAGGCGGGGAGGCAGCAGCTGTTTGTAGCCTCCCAGCTGCAGCCGGCCCAGGCTCTGGGTAGCTGCTGATAGCCACGGAGCCCAGGCTGCTCCAAGCAGGCATCTGGGAGGATGGAAGCCCTGCTGCAAGCAGCCCGGGCTCTGTGGCTATCACCAGCTACCCAGAACCTGGGCCCGCTACAGCTGGGAGGCTGCAAACAGCTGCTGCAGCCCCGGTCCCAGCCGCCTCCCAGACCCAGACCTGGCCCTGGGCTCCAGGGAGGCAGCAGATACCGGCGATGCTCCCTGCTGTGCTGCCTTTGCCACTGCTTCTGCAAAGCAGCGTGTAGAACCTGGTGTGGCAGGGCACAGCGTGGGACGCAGAAAGCTGCCTGCCACTCCAAGCTCCCCGCTGTCCTGGCCACATGTCCCCTTTAGGCAGTGGCAGCAGTGAGGGGAACAACCCCGCATGCTGCCCACACTGCTCTTGTGCACACAGGGAAAGTGTGACCTGGCTAGCACGGAGCTTGGAGCAACAGGAAGCTTCCCTGCGTGGCCCCTCTGTGAGCCGCCGCTGTGAGCTGGTATTTCCAACCAGATGTTCTGACTTAGTAGATGAGCCAAAGAGGCACTGCAGCCTGTTCCACAGGAGTCTTTTATGATGAGCCTCATTGTTGGCAGGGAGAAGGAAGGAGTGGTGGGGGGGCAGGGGAGGCCAGTCAAGAAAATATAATTATATATTCTGTTCATTCTTCAGTCCAGTTATAAAAGTTAGTTTTTTGGAAGACCTAGGGTAGAATCTCAGCTTGCTTGGTCATACAATGCTTCTACAAAGTGTACACACATGTTGATCATAACTGCAAAGGCTGCAGGTAAAGCTGGGCAGTGTCCCACATGGCTCAGCTGACTCAGATGAGTCAGCTGAGCTGACTATACTATACACCATAGTTTTCTGGTTTAATCTCAGAAAAAACTATATGTATAGTTTGTATACAAATATATATGTATACATATCTATATATATATATATATATATATATACATACATATACAAAAAACTATATGTATAGGAAAACCTATGGTGTATAAAACTATACACCATAGTTTTCCGGTTTAATCTCGTGAAAGTTTGAAGGAACTAAAATCTTTCCTCTGTAAGAAACTATAGCTGATGAGAAACTATCATTCTTATGAAATATCATTTTCAAGTGTACAAGAGAATTTTTTGCAGTGCACAAGAAATTTGAGTTGAGACATAGGGGGACTGCATGCATTTGCTGATTGAGTCATCTTAAGCTTAGGATGGGACTCACACTCCCTTTCCACTTCTGAGGAGGAAATCCCTGTGTGGCCCCTCTGTGAGCTGTGAGGTTGCGCACACCGTGTTCCTGGCCCTGCTGCCGTCCCCTGGGCCCTCCAGAGACCGGTGTAGTGCCACACAATAACCAACTCTGCAGCTACAGCCCACTGGCAGCTGGCCCAGAGGGCCACTTTCCTCTAATGGCTGTGCAGTCCCCAACTGGGTCTGGCAGGCCCACAGCAGGTGGCAGCAGGTCACAACCAGGCAGCAGCCCCCACTGCCAGACTGCTGCAGTGGGTAGAGGGTGCAGGGAACTCTCATGGCTGCTTCAGCAGTCCAGCTGGCACAAGGGGTAGGTAGTGTCCTCAGGTACCGGTTGGCCAAGCCTCAGGAGCTCCTGAGAGCGAGTGGCACTGAGCTGCTTGCCAGGGCAGCTTTTTGGACTCCTGGGGCCAGCACAGGGCAGCTCCAGGGCTGCAGATCTGGGAGGAGCCAGGCAGGGTTATTTTGCCCCAAGTGGCAGAATTTGCCCCACACAAAGTGCATGTCCAGGCATGAGCACTGAGGCAAAAAGTACTGGCTCAAATTTGCACTGCATCTATTTGAGCTGCTGCAAGCACACATGCCTGCGCGTGACTCTAATATGACACATGCAATTTAATATGAACCCATAGTTAATATTTGAGTTATTTTAACCAGTTTCTTCCTGAATATCTTGTAATGATATATTTGCTGTTTTAATGAATTTAAAACTTTTAATCCTTGAAACCAAATATATATATTTTTTAATTTCAGGACCTTCTATTCTAAATATTTAAAATGTTAAGTAATGTGAAAATAACTAGTTTGAGGCTTAATCTAAAATGACAGCATTAAAATAGCAGTCCTGTTGTGTAAAAATAAATGTTAAAAGGTTAATTTTGCTTTTGTTTGAGTGTGTGAATAAGGATGGTAGTGTCTTCCATCAACAATGCTTGATAATACATTTAGACCAATGTATTAACAAATTGTAGGAAACCTTGTTTGAAGGAGGGGGGATTACTGAAGTAGAAATAACGGTAAATGTCTTAAGCAAAAACTGCAGGCAGACATTAATTCACCCTAACTTTATTATGTTAGTAATAGCTTCAGATATTTGGAGATATGAAACAAAAACCAATTGGGACCTGTTCTAACTTCCTTTGGGTTCCAGATGCTTTAATTTTGCAGGTGAAGGATTTCTGCCCTGTACTTACTGATATATAAATAAATTGTTTTACATTACTTCTATAAGAAACCCTTTTCCTTGACATTTATCCTTTATTTGACTTTGTCCTTTTTTCCAGACTTAATCTGAAGGGAAATATTTAGTTGTATGTATACTATAATATTAGTTTTCTGTGTCTATATGTATTAAAATTGAGCATATTTTAAAGAAGTTGATAACATTTTTTTTTCACTTTAAATTACAGGTCACAGCCAAGTATGTCATTATCTTTATTACTGTGCAGTACAATGTTACCTACGCTACTGGTAAGACTAAAGCAAATTCATCATTATTTATATAATGTATAATAATCATCTATAGAAAGTACATTTATAAGTAAAATAGTCTGATTTCCATTAACTAATTTCACCTGCGTATTACAGTAAGTTTCTCTGAGATTCTCAGTGTTCTCACCATTATAATAGCTGGGCTGCCAGATCTTCACTAGTGGCTTACATTTATTGCTTCAGTTTTTCCCCCATAATCAGTACTTTTCCTGGGCCACACCTTAACTTGAAGAAAGGTGTCTCTTCTCCTTTTTTAACAACTTTCTGGTTTTCATATCAAGTAGCAGAATATCTTAGAACCCTGCAGTTGGTTAATCATGTTGCCTTATATTTTTACTAGTGGATTTAGTTTATCTTTATGTTTAGATATCAAGTCTTCATGAAAGATAGTTAAAATAGGTGGATTCCATATATGGTTTAACATACTAGAGATCTGGATCATATATTTCTCATTTTGTTTCCCAGCAGATAGCTATTAAACTGACAATTTCAATTTGTAATTTTAAACTTTTTAAAATTAGTTTAATGTACTATATCTGTTCATTAGTTTTTTTTCCCTACCTGTATTCTTATCCCTTAATTGCGTTGTATATACTGAGAAAGTAAGTGTAGGTATCTGTCTCTGTCTGTCTGCATCTCTCTCTCTCTCTCTTTTTTTTTTAAATCTGAAAGACCCATAAAAACAGGAATCAAAACTATAACTTGAAATGGAAATGTAAAGAAAAAAAAGTCCCACACTCTGACCTTTACAATTTTGTGTCTAAAGTATTAAATGTAAAAGTAATAAGGAACTAAATTTTAGAGAGGTGTGTGAGACTTTTTTATTTTATTTTTTTTAATATTCATTTACTGGTGTTTGTGTGCTAAATCAACATATTCAACAATGCAGTGTCTCTGGTACAGTCCTCTGTACATCATATCCTACAACTACATAAAAATATTGAAAATGTTAGCACTCAAAGTTAAACACTCTGAAAGTTAGAAAATGACAGACTTAATTTGGCACCAGTGTACATTGGTAGACAGCATCTAATTATATAATTTGGTGCTGCTTTATTTCTTGAGGACTGCTGCTACTTCATTCAGTAAATGACAAACCATTTATTATTCCTTTTGATCTTCATCATGTGGTGTGCAGCACTCAGCTTCCTTTAACCCAAAATAACCAAGCCCAGGTGAAAGCAAAATTATTTATATTCTTATGAACATTTCTCTGCACTTCATAAATATTAATTAATTCATTTTCATGGCATTTTGTAAGAAAAGTTGATATGTTATAGGTGAGGAACTGAGGCACAAGGAAATTAGGGCAAAAACTGTCAAGAGTCTGCTCCTTTTAGGTGCTCATCTTGAGACAACTAGGGTCTGATTTTTTTTTTTCTTTACTTTTTTAATTGCTTTCTCCATCTAGAGCTATTGGTTGTCTCTGCATAATGTAACCTCAGCACTTTCCTACAATGTTTTCATGTTTTGTTTTTTGTTTGGAACACTTTATAATTTTTTAACATGTGCTTGTGGTGTGTGGTGATATTTTCTGTTTCCTCTTCAGAACCGTACATATAATTTATAGGAACAACTTAATAGTTCTGAAAGTGTCAATAGTAACCTAAAAATATGTAGGACTATTTTTAAGAGGAAGAGTAAATTATGCAGCTGAACTATAAGATTGATCCATTTAAGGTACTATCCTTTCTAAATACAGAGACTTTCGGGGTTTCTGCTTGGAACATATCTTTTCTGTGGGCCAAGTCAAAAGGAATTGATAGAGGCTGACACAATGGATTCAGCATTTTCCTTCCTGATTTACGATCATAGCTTTGTTTATATTGGAGGAAGAGAAGCCTTCAGGTTGTTTGAGGGGGTACCAACATGCCAGTAGCAGGAGAATTTCAAGTTTGTACTGTACACCTTCAGAGAACTAGTAAGATAGTTACCCATTCTTCTACACAAATTTCTTCTTCAAAAATAAATGTGTTCCATTCAAATAGATATTTTGCAATAATTATAAGCCTTTTGTATTTTCAGATGATAAGAGTGAACTTGTTCATTTCTATGAGTATGGTCCAAAAGATATTGCCACTATCTTCTTCTACATGCTAATTGCCATTATTCTTCATGCTGTGATCCAAGAATACATACTAGATGTAAGTTTATTTTATTGGGATAGAAGTTTCTTTTATACTTTTTTGTACTTTAGCGTAATAATTCTTATGTTTATTAATAATAGCATTTGTGCAAATCATGATACACTAAATAGGGTTTTAGTTTTGTATTTACACATCATATGTTGGTTGCCTGTTGTACACTTCTAGTTGTCTCTTCAGCAAATAACTTCTCAAACATTGTGACTTGTATAACATCATCAACCACTAAATCTGATTTTTTGCTGTTGGAGAATGCATGTTAGGTCTTCATTACCCTGAAATATCAGGTATAAAGTACTTGGGTCCTGGTCAGGGCCACTAAAGGAGATCAGCAGCATCAGATATTAGGAATTAAACTATGGCCCTGATCCTGGAAAACATGCATGTGCATAACTTTGTACACCTTATGTTGGCTTCTTTGTGATTTGCTGCAAGAGTTAAGTTAATTGCACATGCACATTTTTGCAGGACCAGGGCCTAAAACATGAAGAGGTTGTTATTGCATTAGGAATGGAAGATCATGGAGGTAAGGGAAGCCTAACTAAAGGCTAAAGGGCTTGCTTTTCCTTCTTCAGCAGCAATAAATACAGAATGTTGATCTGTTTCCTCTCTCATCTTTAAAATGGCTTCTTGATTTCAGAAAATTAACAGACGTCTCCATCTGTCAAAAACAAAGCACAGCAAATTCAATGAATCGGGACAGCTAGCATTTTTCTATTTGTTTTCATTTACCTGGGGAGCAAGTATTTTGACTGCAGTAAGTAAGTCAAATTGTTTTCTGTATTTATTTTTAAAACAAGCCTCTGAGATGTTATAGAAATTCTAAAATAGCTATATTCCTTTTTAGGAGGAATTCATGACAAACCCTACTTTGCTATGGAAAGAATATCCCCATTCTCGCATGCTGTAAGTGTTTTATTAAAATGAAAAATGAATTACCATGACATTTGCTGTTTCTAGCTGCTCAAAAACAGACCACCACAACTTTCTGATGGTACAAAGACTCTCTCTCTCTCTCTCCATTTCGTGTGTGTATGTGTATGTATTAGGAACGTGCAAAACAGGCCATATTCGATTTGGATTCGGCCCGAATCGGGGACAGTAATTCATTTCATTGATTCAGATCACTGTCCCAATTCAGTTTGTCCAAACGCAAAGATTTGATGCTGATTCAAAGAATCAGCAATTCGGACATACACAGCTTTAAATGTTTTTTCTACATACTTCAAGGTACCAGGCATAGCTTGTGAATGCTGCAATGGTGGGGCGGATGAAGCATCCCACAGGAGTGCGGGGAGATCCCCTGTGTGCTCGGCATTGGACCCGGAAGTGCTTCCGGTCCACGTCTGGGTGTGCTGCCAAGCACTTGAGAGACCCCTGCACCCCTCCTGGCTCAGCAATCAGCCTCAGGGGGATCCTGGGTGTCCCGCCAGACCCAGGAGGCACCAGTCACTGAGCTGGGGGAATGCAAGCCTCCAAGTACCTTGAGGTATGTAGAAAAAACATTTAAAGCCGTGTCTATGTCCGAATCATCGAATCTCTCTGAATCGATTCAGAGGGTTCCAATTTGATTTAGAGAGATTAAAGGGTGTCCTGATTCGATACGTATTTGGAGATTCGGCCACCAAATCGAGCCAAATCTCTGCCGAATTGAATTAGCAACCGAAGCTTCATACAGCCATAATGCGCGAGCGCGAGCGTGTATGTGTGAGAGTGAGAAAGTCTTTCCTATTTCTCATTTTATATATGAGAGAGAGTCTTTCATACACATGCAGACATTTTTTTTCTTTCACATTAGTGACCAGTACCTAAAAACCTTGAATACTTATAAGCTGTCAGCTGATGCTTCTCATGGTATTTGTGATTATTTAATTCCCAGTCTTACAAAAGCCTGGATATGTTTATCTGTACTGTGTTAGTAGTCCTACAGACTTCAGTGAGGGTGAAGTTAAGCACATGCTGAATTTTTTTGCAGGATTAAGGATTTAAATTAGTATTACTTAGTATTTGTTTTTTCAACTGTAAAATCTTCTCTGAGGGGAGGGTGTGGCCAAACTTGAGGCCTTTCTGTCCCTCAAACTGGCCAAAAGTGTAATTGCCATCAAAGTGGAGTCACATAAACAGTTGTTCACGAAAAAAACAGTTCCTCTTTATGATTCCTTAAATACCCAGTACATCATATAAACAGTCTTTCTTACTTTGAGATTAGTAAATATCTTATTGTTTAGTTTTCAGGTAAAATTCTTCTATATCTGCCAGATTGCCTATTGGCTTCATGCACTGCCAGAATTATATTTCCAGAAGATTAGAAAGGTATGAATTGAAGCCTGTCTGCATTTAATTTAAAAAAAAAAACAACCCTGTTTGTTGCTTGATTTCCTTTGTAATGTACTTGGGGTGGAAACATTTATAAGGGGTCCACAGAAAATATAGAAAGTTGATATATTCAGTATTACAGGGTTTTTGAAAAAAATTAGCTAAAAATAAACATCTAATAATTTTTCTAATTTTTAGGAAGATATTCCAAGACAGCTGTATTATATCTGTCTTTACATTGCTCACATATCTGGTGCCTATGTATTAAAGTAAGTATTTGTAAATTGTTATTAATTGATAAACTTTGGTTTACTTCATAATTTCATTACATTTTTTGTTCACCTTTTCTTTCTATAGCCTGCAACGTTTGGGGCTAATTTTACTCGTACCTCATTATTTAGTGGAACTGATCTTTCACGCCTCTCGTCTTTTCTACTTCAGTGATGAAAACAAGCAGAAAGGGTAAATTTTGCTTATATTAAATTATTTTTATTTTCATACTAACTCTAAATAGAGTTCTGTAATTTACATTGAATTATTTTGGCATTAAAAATGGTTGCATGCATGTAAGAGAGAAAACATGTTTAGGAAGCATATTACATTCTAAGATATCTCTGATACCAATATTTTTGCTTGGAATTTCAATAGTGTATATAGTCATGGAAAGCAATATATCACTTCACAATTATGCTAGTTTTTCAGTTAAGCTTTGTTAAAGCCATGTCTCAGGTTAATGTTGGCCACATAAAATACTCAGTTGCTAAATATAGCTGTCACTGCATATATTTTATAGGGATTTCTGATCTTAAAAACAAATCCAGCCAAGAATAAAACTGCCACATTATTGCAACTTCTGAGTCTTATTTTTTGTTCTTGAATTCATTTATTATTGTCAATCAATATAAAAGAGCACAAAGAATTACAGTGGAATCTTATAGTAAAGATGTACATCAGTGAATTTTTTCAAGGGAGAAAACTAGTATACACTGTCATTTTTGTAGTCTGTTCCTTCTTAGCAAAGGGTGGACCAAAAGTGAAAAATTAATAATTTGTGGAAGAAAATAACGTATATGTATATACTCCAAATTTGTAAGTAGTTACTTTTGAGGAGGAGGAATATTAGGACATCTAGGAGGGGTTAAACAAGGGAACTGATCTATAAAATCAGACTGGAGGAGAGAAATTGTAGTGTGACTACTGAAGGGGGTAAAGAGGGCGACCAAGAAAGAAAGAAATATGATGCAAGACACCCCACCCTTCTTATTGAGTGTTTTATTCATGTATGAACATTTAAGGGCCTTTGTAATTTTGCCTCACTTGTCCACTCATCTCCAACTCTGTCTCCCTCCACTATACCATCCTTCAGTGTTCACTTTTGAAAGACTATCAAATACGTTACCTTACCTTCCATGCAACCTCTTTTGTATTGGACAACCCTCTTTTTTTACTGATCTGTAAGGTTATTCCTTCTTAGGGTCTTTACAAAGATTTGTTTTAACTTGAGTGTCAAAGAAACAAATAGCTGAGCTGAGGGCCTGTAAAGGAGCAAGAGCCTGGGCTTGATATCTGGGAATCAAGGTCAGAAGTTCAGGGTGTGAACTGGAGTGAGGAGTCAGGGGGTTAGGAGCAGCCGCGTCAGGAAACAAGGGTTGAGGTAGGGACAGAAGCCTACAGGGATTTAGGCTGGAGCAGGGCTAATCACAGAGGTGCTACCAAGGGAACTATCTTTGCTGTTGAGGAGCTACAAAACAAGAAGAGGGCTGCTCTTTATATTATAGGTAGCCATGCCCATGCAGGTAACTAGGGCCAGCTGCAGATAGGGAAGTAACAGAACCAGGCACACTCAGGTAATTGGGGTCAGCTGAGGGCTAGGCAGCATGTTTGCTGCCCTGACTCCTAATAAGGTCACTTGAAGAAAGTCTTCATTTGGTACTCATTAATGAAAAAGTAGTTTTTCTCCAAGGGAAACCCACCTCCTTAAAGTATGAATTTCAGAAGTATTTTAAATATTTGCATATAAACAAAAACATAGTACAAGCCTAAAACTGATCCTGTTAAGCCACTGTTTTTTTTAGACTCGAGGCACCCCGTGGAAAATGCCAGGTCTCTGTTTTCATCTAGTTTTTGCCTACAGAGAAATAATGGAGCATTTTTCTGTTGCAAAGACCTCAGAAGTATTGCAGCAAGCCAGAGTAATCTTAATGCTATGGATTCCTATATGAAATCTCTGTGTTTTATATTGTGAATATTTGCACACCTAACAGTGCTAACATTGTTTGACACCCCAAGAAGATCTCAAGACATCCTGGTTGAGAATCATTGCTTTATATGTCAGGTTATAAATTCTAACCTCTATGGCCTCTTTCAGACTCTTGCTGCTTCTTCTTGTATGTGCTGGTTCTGGTTTGTTTAATTTTTTTTTAACCTTCCTGTTAGAATGGACAGATTCAGAAGATAGATTTTCATTTTTTTCAGTTTAAGATTAAATGAATAAAGTCTTTTTCCATTTAAACTGAATATACGGAGAGCACCAGCTTTGATTTTTAAAAGTGAATTTCTATTCCACCAACTTGTATGAGAGTTTCTGACCCATCTTCATTAAAGATAGCCTTCAGAATGTAAAATCAACCAACAAGCTCTATCCCAGCCTGGCCTGATGCTGACTTCTCGCATGGAATCCCCTTCCTCTGGTGCAGGAAAAAGCCATAGTGGTATATCTTTGGGTACTCTTCTCAGATATCAGTGCTTAAATTAATTAGTTTCCATACTGGCTGTGTTGAAGACCATTAACATATAAGTTGTTCACAGAACTTTACTTTCAGTTTCTTTATAATCAACATGTTCCAACCCTTAAAAGTAATGGAAATAATATTTTTATATCTAATTAATTTTTGGTAATTCATAAAAGTGCTTGTAACTTTTGATTGTTCACCACATTTTATAACTTATACAAGCTTGGGTACTATATGACTTACAAAATGTCATTTTAGAGCAATGTGGGAAGGTTGTACTTTACTATTGATTTGCATTTCTCTATTCAGTATATTCTCCCATCTTCCTGACCTATAAATTAAATGACTATAAATAATTTGCCTTGACCTACCAACCACTTCTTTTTTTTAATCTATTTAATATCTATGTGTTACCATTCTGTAGTGACTTCCATGGTTTTATAAGACCCTTGCTACTTGATATTCATGCTGTAAGTCCTAAAAATATGATAGACTCTCTTTACATGAAATTTCATTATGGAGGGAAGTTTAACTTTATCTAACCCATCTAACTTTACAAGGTTAAAAAGAGGTAGACAAAACAGGGGAAATACATTAATTTCCTGATGAAATTATATTCTAATGAACAAAATTCATTCTTTTGTTTTCAGATTTACCCTTTGGGCTTTACTGTTTGTAATGACTCGTCTTCTGACGCTAACTTTATCTGTCCTCACGTTTGGATTTGGTCTGGCAAGAGTAGAGAATCCAGTTTTTTCCATAGTAGATGGAAACTTCAATGTACTCACTGTGAGGTATAAGATGATTAATGTTTTTTTAAAAATTATATAACAGTCCAAGATGTTACTTTGTTTTTCTTCTGTGTTTTTGAGGTGGAAGATTTTAAGCAGCTTTGTTTCTTTGTCCCTACCTTCCATGGTACAGGGCCCACCAGTACGAAATGTTTGGTAAAAAATAATGAAATCAGTCTCTCTCTCTCTCTCTTTTTTTTTTTTAATTACATTAACCTAATGATTAGCATGAAAAGGACCCTGCATAACTATTTTGTGAGACTTCTCTTTAAAAAGTCTATGTTTATTATAAATATGCTGTAATTTTGAAATGTACCCACCATCACTTTTTCCTCACTTTATTTTAGAGACCCCAAACATGCTCTGAATGTGCTCATTCTTGCTTGCTCATATTGAAGCCCGATTTTCATCATGGGCTCCTCAGTTTAAAATTTATTTTAAATAATATATCATCAAAGATGGGCATTGGACTTGTACACATGGTCACTGGTAAAGTTCACTCATGGATCATTTGGCAGAAGAAGCCACAATTGTGCAATTTGCTATAGATCCATAAAAGCTATAGTTCATATTTCTTTGCCAAGTATAGACACTTTCATTGATGTATGTACATGCAACTCTTGCTTATTTCATGCATGAGTCTCTCAGACAAATACGGTTTTCACTAGCATGAGAGATTTGAGTGATGATTTTTTTTTTTTTAAATGTGGCACTGCTTTGCAATGTAACTATGTACAGTTAAAACATTTTATAACACTTCTTAAGTTGGGGTTTTTTTGTTTTTGTGTTTTTGGGGTTTTTTTAGGATTAGCTGTTTGGCTGCAGTTTGTTTAACACAGGCCTGGATGATGTGGAAATTTATAAATTTCCAGCTGAAAAAATGGAGAGAGCACACCCAGAACCAAATTCCTAGGAGAAAAATAAATAACACGAAGAGCAAACCAACAAAAAAGGAAACAAACAGAGGTTAGTATTATCGCATTTTAAAGCCCCTTTTAAACTGTAAGCATTTGTGCATATGATTTGTTTTCTGTATCTTATCTTTTTCTTCATACCAAAACATAAGGGAGCCAGAGCAGCATCCACTTTTTGGTGTACAGTGAAAACAGACACCATTTTAACTTCATAGGATGCATACAAGCATTAAATTTCTACCACAAAAATGGCAGTTCTGGTGAGCCCTAAGTGTACAAACCTTCCCAGTTTCTCCCAGACCAAAAGCGGTGGTTTCAAAAAAAAAATTAACTCCAACCAGGTAGAAGTGACTCCTGGGAGAGTTTCTCCAGGGAAAACAAACATATGTACACTTACTCTTCCAATAGAAGCCACAGTGCTGCTGTCCTCCAACATTCCAGCTTACATTTGTCCTCCGTACTTCCTGTCTCCAGGAAGTGTGTGACTCAGGCTAGACTCCACTGTTCCAGCTGAGTACAGAGCAAACCCCTCTCCCTGACTGCTTTGGGATCAGGTTAATCCAGCCTTTTTCACCAACCCTATGCTGTACCCCATGGCCGCGTCCAGATTAGTGTGGACATGCAGTATGTGATGTCGCAGACCTGTCTGTAATGCCACACACTGCACGTGCCAGCATTCCCCATGCTACTAGCTTGCAGTGGTGGGGGGGCTGGCCCTAGATTCTGGGGTCAAGAAAACTGATGCTGAAAAAAAGCGGGGCGGCGCATGTGGCAGCGGTGCACAGCACCCAAAACAGAAGACTGGCTAGCTGGAGTCACACTCTTGCTTATGGCCAGGCTCCCTGCCATGGCTGCAACCCTGGGAGGCCCCCAGGTAAGGCTGCTGCTGCCAGCACAGTTTCTGGCCCCAGCCTCTCTTTCCCCACCCGTGATAACTTGCTGCATGCCAGAGCATGTGTGGCACTGGTATTCCCCAAGGACAAGTAGCAGTGGTACACCTTGTGCTGCTGCTACTTGTTCCCAGGGAAACAAATGTCTGCATTCATCTGGACATGGCCTGTGGCTAGAAGGAGGTGCAGGGAACCAAAGCATCTATCCTCTGCACCTGGCCTAGACCCCAGGGACCTAGGCTCCCAGACCTGTTACAGGGATCCGTTGCAGGTTGCTGGAATAGAAATTGACACACGTGCAACTAACAGAGGAGACACAATCTAGGTCTCCTCTGTCAAAGCTTCATGGGGAGGTGGGTTATAGTTCACTGTAACTGCATGTTGCTAACCAAGGAGAGACCAAGTGTACTAGAGTAAAGACCTAAATTATACATTAACTCCAACACTGCAGAGCCAGTGGGCGTTTTAGAGTTTGTGTCCTTTACTGAACGCAAAAGTAGATTTGACAAGTGCTGCATATTGCTAGACTGAAGGATTTTAAAAATTAAAGAAATGGGACATTTGCAAGAAAATGTTGCAATCATTCTTTTAATGCCTACAAATTAAAACATTATTCCATTTAAGGTTTTTTAAGTGATCTTTTTCCTTTATGACTATAAATTCTATTTTTGTTACATTTCAGAAGAAATTTAATTCAGTGCCTTGCTTTTCCAAATATATTAAATTTGAAGGCTTTCTGTAAATGTTAGATCGATAAAAGAAAAACCCAAATGAATTTTACATTAACTGGTAGAAGATACCTAGTGAATAAGTTTCCAGTTATATTACAGAAAGACTTGGACAGTAGGGCTGTGTGAAGCTTTGGTCCCTGATTCGATTTGGCAGAGATTCATCCTAATTTGGTGGACAAATCTCTGAATCCAAATTGAAACAGAGGACCCTTTAATCTCTTCGAATTGAATCGGAGCCCTCCAAATTGATTTGGAAAGATTCGGTGATTCAGGCATAGACACAGCTTTAAATGTTTTTTCTACATACCTCTGGGTACCAGCGTGGCTCGTGAATGTTGCGATGCTGGGGCACATGGAGCGTCCCACAGAAGCATGGGGGGATCCCCAGCGTGCTCGGCAGCAGACCTGCAAGTGGGCCAGAAGCACTTCCTGTCCACTTCTGGGTCTGCGGGGGGCCCCCCCCACACCCCCTCTGGCTCAGTGACTGGTACCTTTGGCAGGGGGGACACCCGGGGTCCCCTATGGGTGAACTCTGAGCTGGGGGTGCGCAGGGGGGCCCCCCAGCGTGCTTCCTGGCAGACCCAGAAGTGGACCAGAAGTCCTTCCGGTCCACTTTCAGGTTCACCTCCGAGCACATAGAGGGCCCCCCTCTGCACTCCTGTGGGATGCTCTGTGCACCCCAGCATCACAGTGTTCACAAGCTGTGCTGGTACCTTGAGGTATGTAGAAAAAAACATTTAAAACTCTGTCTGTCCGAATCACTGATCCTCCAAATCAGCATAGAATCTTCAGGTTTGGCCAAATCGAATCGGGGCAGTGATCCAAATCAACAAATTGAATCACTGTCCCTGATTCAGGCCAAATCCGAATCGAATGGGGCTCACTTTGCACACCCCTGTTGGACAGGAAGACTAATCATACTATACAGAAGTACATATGAGAGTCAGACCCTCTTCCTGTGAAGCTAAGGACCAGCACTCTGTTGAAAAACACAGCATCTGCTAATGCTAATCCTGGATCTTTTCAGAATTTACATTTTCATTTTTGTCTCTAGCTAGAGGGGTGTGCTATTTTAAATTTAGGCAAACTTATTGAAACTTAATTATATGGAGAGATTCCATTGATCTTAACAGGTGTGGAAGTAATTTAATTCCTTTCCCCTATCGATCCTCTTAGTTGCAGTGAAGAACATATCTCTGTGGCTCTACTCCAGCCTTGCAGGCCCTTCTCTCCTTTCTTCCTTTTAATATTTTCAGTGCTTGTTTTTGCTGTTCCTCATTGCTTTTACATACAGCAGTATGAAATGGATACAGTTCTTGAGATTCACCACTGCTCACAGAGTTCTGCCCAGCAGTGAAACTGTCTGTAGTCCTATTGACTTTGTGTGTTGCTGCAGCTGGGCAAATCACTGAACAGCACAGATGTTGGGGCTATCTCTGCAGAGTTGGGAGGATGCTGCTGCATTGGCTAAACCTTACAAAAATAAATACCTTCACAACGATACAGGCTAGAAATATTCAATGAAAAGTTGGATTCTGCTGAGGTCCCTTCTAAGTCTCCAGGCTAGCTTCTGATAGCTAGAGTAAATGGATTTTTTTAAAGCCTTGAATATAGGGATCCAAGCTGGATGCCAGTTACTATGTTGGTCAGCAGTTACTGTGCAGAATTCTGATGCTATGGGATAATTCAAATGTATCTTGAGTTATCATAGTTCTTTGTTGCCCTCATATTGACAGTTCACACAATTGTAATTAACATTTTCATTTTCAGACCTAACTGCCTAAAGGAAGGATAAGCATTAGGACTTGAGCATGCTTTAAGATTTAAAAAATATTTTTTGTTCTATTACTCTATTAAATATATATAAATCCTGTGTGTTACAGCCCTGATCAGTAGCACACCCAGGCCAGGATCCTGCAGTGTTTTTAAGTACGTAATTCCCAATTAAATTGTTGGGAGTAAAGGTTCAAAAATATCTTTTAAGGATCTGGTCTTTTGTTTTGTTTTGGGTTTTTTTCTGTTTAAAGACAGACTTAGATATTTACATAGGTGCTCTGAATCCCTCTGGTTAATGTCAAAGGAAACCCTAACGTAGACAAGCATATGGCAACTTTCACTGTTTTTACCACCGTTCAATCTGTTTTGTTTTAACAAAGTTGGAAAAAACAGGAAGTTACAAGAGCTTTATCTACACAAGGATTTCAGCTGATTTTGCCATCAGTGTGTAGGTACAGAAGTATTGCTCCCTGACATTTTTAGGTTTTATTACCAACATGAGCACTTGTATATAATCTTATTTTTACTCTGAAAAGAGACAAATAGCGTGTCATATGTACTTAATTTTACCTATTTAAACTTACAGCTAATGTTGTCAATGGAGCAGTAAAATTAGAAGATGGAGCATCACCCAGAACAAGAAAATCAAAAGCATTATGAAACAGAAGCTAATGTTAGAAGACAAAGTATTGACAGAAGACTGATTAAAAATATATTCTATCACTGCAAAATCATTGACTATTATTTGGCTGTCTTGCAATATTAAATGGACACTGCCAGGCTATAATATTTTAAACACGTTTATTTTGTTTATTAATACATAACTCATATTCTGAAACCAGAATGGATAATAAAAACAGACAAGTCAGTTCCACTTTGCAGCATCGTGCTAGTAGCTTACAAGAGCTAGAAAGTTTGAGGTATTTATTAAATTCTAAAAAGATTCTTATAAAAGTAAGGTTAGTGTTTCCAACCTACATTTTGGGTTAAAAAGATCTGACCATGTCTGTTTGAAGTCTGCTTTTTGCACAACAGACTTTTTTATTATTATTATTATTATTATATTCTTCTCAACTGGAATAAGAAATGGTATGTCTGAAATGCATCTAGCATGGCAAAAATAAAAGATGTTTACCGTTTCTTTTCAAAGGTTATTTAACACTTGACTTAAAAACCAGGTTCATAAAGTCCAGATATCACTCGTTTCTTCTTACATTCAAAGTGATTGTGATATGTAATGGAGGCACAGAATAGTGGCTGCATTTACCTTGCAGAATTGTGATTTTGCAATGGGTAGTACGGTCTTATATGGAAAAGAGTTGTCAGTCAAACAATAAAGATGAAAGCTTTGTTTCATTCAAGTAAATTGCAAAACTCCTGTGGATTTCAGGAAGGATAAAATCCTAGACCCGTGTCCAAATATTAGAGAATTTTCCCCTTTCTTTATTGTAACTGACCTGTTTTGAAAGTTACTGATGACTCAAGAATTTTATCAGTCAGGTTTAGGAAGCATACTTTCTGTAGGTGAAATTGTACATAGTTGCTGAACTACTGTGGTAGTGACTCCATTAAAACATCTATTGGAAATAGATTTCATAATATTTTAAACGTCTGAGTTAGGCAAATACTTGTTTTGGTTTCGGACTCAAGTTTTATGCCTTCACAAAGCTATTAAGAAGCTTCTTACCTAAATAGTCCATTTGAGATGCAATTCAGTTAAAACTCAGTAGACCTTTTTGTAAAGTCTTCTCAGAAGTAATATGGTCAGATGCTCATTTAATTAAGTGGTTTAGTAAATACTGCATTATAGGCCTCTGATCATCAAACAATGCCATCTGATTTTGCCTGGCTTCTTGTATTACTTGTCATCTTTTCAGCCAATGAATCTTGCTGTTCCAGCAAGCACATCAGGTGTTCAGGAAATAACTGACTTATAATATGTTTGGGCACATAATATACCAGAAATGTGCATTTAATGGCATTGCCACACATTCTGAAGTGTCTGTGGTTAAAAAACTTTACCATTCCTGAAGTGTTTATCTCTCAAAATATTGTATAAACAACTTTTTTTTCAAAGAATAGATACTTAAATGGTATTCATATTAAGCTTTTTCTTGAATGCCATTTCTCTTCCCCCTCACTGGCTGCTCAGGTGCTTTCTTCCCTTCTAGCCTGTGTCTTTCTTCCCTTCAAGCAGTGTGGAAGTGTGATGGGGGGATTGTTTTTGCGAGGGTTTGGTGTTTTTTGTTTTTATTTTTTTAAATAAAGTGAAGCAAGTAGGACTGTTGGGGAGCCACTTATACAAGCTCCAGTTGTATCAGTCTACTTACTCTCCATTAAACTGGCTGTAAGCCATGAAATCACATCCAATAGAAATATGTTTTGGATGCTACCCACCCAGGTTAAACTTGAAAAATATACAGGCCACCCATATTTCAAATGTAATGTTTGGAGCACTTTACAAGTGTAAATCTTCAAAACCCTTCTGTAAGGTTATGAGGTAATAGTAGGTTTCCTAATTCCTGGTTGTATAAAGAAATTGCACCAGAATCCTGACCACAATTCTGTGAAAAACAAGTGACAGAGACTAAAGGTTCTGTATCATTACCGATTCCTGGAGCCACTGGATCTCTCAGTCTTAGATGTTGCCATACTGATCTAAGCACTTGTTTGACTATGATAAAACTACTGCTATTTTTGTAAGTAACCTTCTTAGTCATGTGTGACTAGTATCTAAATGCTATTTAAAATCTGTGACCCCATTTTCTACTTTGCCATAATTGTTCCTGTGTGCAAATAGATTGTAGGAGTATTGCGTGTGACTTCACATAAACTTGTACATTTCTACTGAAAATGTTTACCATGGAACTAGAATATATATATTTTTTTAATGATTTTAATAAACTTATTTGTATAATCATGAATGCCTCATTTGATAAAAGTATCATCTTTTGAGCAGTTTTGGTAGGACCTGCTTAGCCTTCAGGGTATTTCTCAACCATGCTGCTCACAAGACAATGCTTTCTCTGATAAGTACCTGCAACTGTAATTGTACTGTAAACATCGTAGCTTTTGGGTCACTTGGCAGCAAGATGGCCGACAGTTAATTATACAGGTCAAATACTTTTACCCTGAAGAAAGGAAATTATAAACTTAAGGGCACTGTGAATTTGAACCGAAAACTACATTTGTTTTACATTACTGATGCAAACACGTTTTTGAATGAATATGTTCTCCTTGCCCCCAGTCAACTTTAAAGCATTTAGGCAAAGTTTTTCAAACACAGGAGACTGACTTTAGATTTCAAGTAACCAAATTTGCCAAGTGTTGAGCACTTAATACACACAAAAGAATCTGGCCATAGGAGCCTAAAATTAGATTATTTTTGAAAATTCTGACTCCAATCTCTTGCCATTTTTTTTCTTTTCAGAATAATGGGAAGGTGTATTCTTAATACTCTTATGAATCAAATAAACAAAATATCTTGGAATATTATTTTTGTTGCATGTTAAACATAAAACACTTAAATTATTCATTTAAACTACTTTTCTTTTAGCAAGTGTCCTTGGATTATTTCCATTGTGTGTAAGGCTACTGTTCTGCCGCATGCATACATGCAGTACCTGTAAAGTACGGATAAGAACCTCCATTTTGTAGCATGAGAGGAACACTTTTTTTTTTCTTTTTTCTTTTCTTTTTTTTTTTTTTTTTTAAGTAAAATTCACTATTTATCATTTCATTGCATTTTTTTGAAAACTCACTGTGTAATATCAAATGCATGAAATAAACTGTAGGCCTGTGCCTTAATATTAAAACATTTCAGTAAACTAAACAACTTGCAGCAAAAAGCTGTTTGCACTTAGTGTTTTTGATACATTTACATGGTAATTATTTTAGTGAGTGTTGCACCATTTTTAAATTCCTAATGATGGACACTAGAATGTGTTGAGATGTTGGACAAGTAGTTCATTCACATACAAAAATGTGGGACCTGCCTTGGGAAGCAGACTGGGCTGTTATTGAGAAATAATAATGACTGAAAGAAGTAGCTTGGTCATCTTGATAGAAATTCTGTGATGTTAATGCATAGAAAGGCTGTTTCTGTGAAGATGAAGGTTGGTTGTGGGTTTTCTTTTTTAATTTGTTTTTCGTAACTCCCCATATGATTTGAGTCAGGATGACAAGTGTATGGGACTTAAGGGCTAGGATAACAAGAGTATATGATAGTAGTGAGAGCAACAAACAGCTCTAGCATTTGCTTATTAATATGAATAGGACTCCCCTCTCTCCATCAGCAATCTAAGTTAAAGTTTATTTAAAGTTTTGGGGGGTTTTTTTGAATCCACAATAGAATACCACACCCATCACCACATATCAGCCAATCTTGAATTAATTTGTACTGCCAACTAAAATGTTACAAATTGTTCTGTTCCAGGAAGAGCCTCTGTGACATTCAGGACTCCTGTCCTTGTATTAAGCACAATATATTATAGGGAAGCGATGGGAGAGAGAGAACTTTAAATTCCAATTATAAATTATAATTAAAAATTCCAAAGTGCTTGACTTTTTTCTTTTTTTTTTAAATTTTGTTCCTTGGAAATAGTCCAAACACTTGTTCTACCATCTTGGAAACGTACTATTTTTTTCCCTAACAAAACACTTAAAACTAACCCAGACCTCTGATGCTATTACAAACCCCTAATTCAATAAAGCACATAAGTATGTTTTTGTCTCATTTCTTCAATGGGAATTGTGTGCGTGCAAATTAAGTGCTTAGTTGAATAGGGGTATAAATTAAGCTGTATGCTAATCAGGGTGTAAATAAACAGTGAATATTGCCATTTAATCTTTTTGTCACAGTTGTGTCAAATAGGATTTTCTTAGGCACTCTAGACTGGCATTCCTATAGATGTTCTGGCACATCAAAAAATCCCATCTACAGTTTTTACCATCAGAAATGTCCAGCATAAACTTAGGTGCAAGCATGGCAGAACTTTACAAAACTGGGCTGGTATAATTTGTTATTTTTTTAAATGTGTGAACTTAAACTATATTAACAACCAAGTTTTGCACAAACTTATGACTACTTCAGATCTGTAAACTTTACCTGCAGTTACATGAGACCTCACTGCAAAATTTGAAACATTTTTTTAATTATGTAATAACTCTACTTTCATAGTCCCATTAAACTTTTAAAAACATCTTATTTGCATTACAAGTCAGAGCCATTGCAGTCAACTGTGTTGCATCATGTCAACGGAACAGGAATGTGCACGTTAATAATATGTTTTGAAACCAAAACTGGTCCTATTCTTTTAAAAACCCATCCCCAAATAATAAGAGTTGTGCTTTGTCTGACTTACTGTTTAAGGTTACACTTACATTTTTTATGTGCAAAAAAAAGTTGAAGCTACACTTGCTTTTCTGTTACATTGACCTTTTTACAGACCTTTTACAAATAAACAAACAAAGAAACTGTAACAAGATATGTTCCTAATGGAAATATAATGATGTGAACGCTAATGCTGTTTCTATGCCCGGAGTTCAGCAAGACCTGATCAAACTCCCACTGAAGTCAGTGGATTGACTCCTAGTAGGAGTTAGATCAGACACTAAATGTACAGATTCTTTAAGAACTTGGTTTATTCTGGCTCCCAGATGCATGTAAGAATTTCTAAATGCACAATACTGCCAAGAATCAATTATATTATTTCTCTTTAAACCAATTGGTTTCCTTACTTAGCTTAAATTCTTTACGGGAGGGACAGTGTATCACCATTGATTTCTTTGTTTCCCAATATTACTTATAGGAATGACTGCTGCATCTAGCTAAGTTGGAGGCATACTGCTTTTTTAGAACCTCTGTCCAATGCCTTTCTTGCACTATCTGTTGAACTTTCATCACAAAAAAATACTAGGACTGAGAGAATTTTCTAAAAGAACCTCGACACTGTAAATGGTAAAATCCTAGATGCTTAACTTCTTTGAATGTCACCTCATTTAAGTCTCACTAGTTGAAATTAAGCCTATGGATTTAATCATAAACAAGAGAGTAATGTTTACAAACTGTAATAGTGTCTTAACATTTCCTACAGTTATCCAGTAAAAGTCTATGTAGAGTTGACTCTACATTTAAACCAGCAACGTACTTCATATTAAGTATAATATGAACCATGATGAATGTGCATCTGTCTGACTGCAACAAATACACTGGTTTGGTTTTTAATTGCTGTTAAACTGGACTTTCCACTCAATAAATATGTCTGTCCTCTTCTATTTGGATTGGTGAAATGCATTGTTTTTTTTTATAATGCATTATAAAAATACCTTTTTTTTTAAACATCACTTCATCCCTCATTCTATAGGCTAAAACTGTGCTTTAATAAAACCTTTTCTTGTTGAAAACACCATAATTTATTTTGCTTTTTAAACACTGCAAGTAGTTATGTAGGTTTTTTTTGTTTAGTTTGTAAAACATAGCACAAAAGCTATGTTTTCTGATGTATGTAAACTTGTGGTTACTCATATACTTGGTAAAATGTCTACAAAGAGACCTTTCTCTCTAGAAAAGTTGGTGGTGTTCTGTAACTGTTTAATGTGTGTTTATGATGCATTTTGTTTTCTGTAATTTTAATTCTTTTATTGTCATTAAACCATGTGTTTTATTACCACACTAAATCAGTTGCTCTTTGTAGTTCAGCTTAGCTACCTAACATACATTAACAAGATCTTGTCAGAGAAAACATGCATAAAAATCCGTGCATAATTCCACAACAATCCATCTGGGTTTACTTACATTTTCCAGTTTTTTTTACCCATTTCCTGCTTACGTTGATAATTTTCTTTACTGTCTGCTGCCCAAAGGGATGCCATTTTCTATCTCTGAGGCCTGTATAGATCCTTTTATGCTGGCCCTTAAAGTGCTTAAGGACTTCCTGCCAAGCAGTTCAGCTATATACCAATACAGCTGCATTACTGCAAACCCTTAATGGAAGCATTGCTGCAGCAATGTAAAACAGATAAGTTTTATCAATGCGAGTTTATTTGGGTTTTTTTAGAGGTGTACTGATACATTGGTCCCGTATTGGATTGACACTGATAGGGAAAATTGACAGTATTGGAAATTGGCTTTTTTTTTTGCTTGATGTGGCCGATTAAATGCCCATGCATGTGCATGGTCACAGCATGCACACAGCCAGGAGGGCAGCCTGGTGGCTTGGAGAACAGCATTGGCTGGCAAGTCTGCGGGGAAGAAAGGGTGGGGGGCAGATCAAGGCCCCCCACAGTTAGGGAGGGAGTGGGGCAGGGGCCTAACTCTGCTCAGCCGGGGCAGGGTGGGCGCAGGATGGAGCCACAAGTGGCTCATCCAGGGAGCACGGAGGGGGGCGGCTCCTGCTGCTGCACAGACCCTAAGAGGCACGGGGTGGCTGCCGGATCTGCATGGGGCATGGTGGGGCGAGCTGTTACTGTGGGCTGGGATGGGGGCTCCAGGGGGGATGTTGGGCTGGGGCAGCACTGGGCTGTTCCCAGCAGGGAGGGGCTGGGCTGGGCTGTGCTCAGGGCAAGCAGCAGCGGAGCTGGGAGGGGGGCTACGGGGGTGGGTTATGGCAAATTTTGGGGTGGCTGCAGTCCCATTCCCTCCCCCCGAAGCCCTCCTAGTGCTACTATTGCTGCTCACCCTGAGTGCAGCCTGACCCAGCCCCTCTGCCAGGAAGAGCCCAGCACTGCTCCAGCCTGCAGGGGCAGCCCGCCCTCACTGTGCATGCAGATCCAGGGGCACATGCCCCCCATGCCCTCCCAGGGTGCATGCAGGGCACAGGCCACTCCCCCCCGACCTTGAATGAGCTGCTTGCAGCTCTGTCCTGTGTTCCACCCTACCCCAGCTGAGCAGGCCCTGCCCCAGCCCCACTCCCTCCCTCACCACAGGGGCACGATCGTCCCCCTGCCATGCCCCATCTCTCCCCCCATCCTTTTCCCCACACTAGACTTACCAGCCCAACACTGGTCTCCAAGCTGACCAGCTGCAGATCGGTATCAGACGATATAGCTCCTTAAAAATTGGTCTTCGGTATTGGTCCAAAAAATCTCTATTGGTGCACCCCTAGTTTGGGGTGGGGAGGGGCACGCAGTGAAATGAGCAAGATTAAAGGAATCACTGCAGTGCACTTGTGCCATGATTTCTGTAGGTCCCTACCCATGACTCTACAGCCTGATTGACCAGGTACCCATTTAGCTGGCTTGATTGGGAGCAGCTTTTTGCATGAGTCCAGAGCAAGGCTTAAACTCGTGCCTCTTCAGCTGCAGCAAGACCCCTTAATTGCTTTGTCACCATGCCTCATTCTTCTGAGGGTGGGCATCTTTCTTTGGGGTGAGGGGAAGGAAGGGCACTGGCCACTTGCATGCTCATGCTCCGTTTTGCAAGTTTGAGTTGCATCTATTGGAGATGATTGAGTGTATAAATAATATTTGTTTTTTAAAAAATCAAGTTCAAATGTACTTTTTGCTATGATACCAACAGAAGATTTTCTAAAGGACTAAAGTGCCCCATAATTACATTATCTCTAGGAAACATACATCTCCCTCATCTACCTTAACTGTTTCTGAATGCTGTGCAAGAGAACACATTACAGATGGGGAAAACAATAATTTTCCCCTTGCAGTTTTCCAAATAAATAATATTGAAACAGTCATAATGAAATTCATTAAAGATGTACACATCTGACTGGGAAGAAAGTAATGGCAAGTTTGTGGTCAAAAGGCTTATTTCGGGGAAGATGATGAGCAGCATAGTAGTAGCAGAAACTTAGTTGATGAGCATTAGTGTTAAAAAGATGTACTATGGGGCACCAGTTCAGCAAACCACTTAAGTATGTGCTTGAATTCCATTGGCCTTATCTTGAAAATAGTGAATTTAAGTTGGATTACCTAGCATTTATTAGATAAACCCAACTTGTTTTCTTTTCTTCATGCCTCTAATCATCTTTAAGAACTTGGCTAGTCCTGCTATTTAAAAAAAAAAAAATACTCCAGCAGGTGGAGCAAATAGATAAAGATCTTAAGTACTCTAGTTCTGTGTCCATACGTATTCCTTTTTGATTGTGAGGAATTCAGTTGGGTAACTGAAAGGGTCTTTGGTTTTTGTTCTGTTTTTTTATTTCTGCAGAACCAATGCAATGAAGAGTGAAAGCACTTTATTCTCACATCCCTCATTACATGGAATTAAATTGTTTAGAAACTTAAGTTGGTTTGAATGTTTATTAACCAAGAGAACAGAGAAAACAAGAGGAATTACTGACCCAATATTTGTATTATAATAGCATTCAAACATCCCAATAAGTTTACAGTCCTGGTTGTGCTAGGTGCTATACAGGGTATATTAAAAAGTCTGAAGACAAGATACAGAAAACATACAAGCAAAATGTCAAAGGTACAAGTTTTGCTTCTTTCTTGCATTAATTTTCCTCAAAATCATCTGCACTTGTCCCACGGTACATACAAGCCCTATTTATCTGCCCAAGTGAGGCAGGTGTTTAGCTCTATTACTTTCTTTCCCTGCCCACTCTGAACATTCTGCAAAACAGCTGTTGGAAGGAGAAAGGAGAATCTTTAGATAACACATGTATAGTTACTGAAAGTACGTAAGAACTCATTTTTACAAGGGCATTCAAATGCTCAAATCCACCCCATTTGATACAAAGGTAAGGAATCTAACATCTTTAAAAATGGTTATATCTAACCTGGGATCATAAGCATTCATATGCACTTACAATCAAATGACCATTTGAAGCAGAGGTTGGCAACCTTTCAACATCGCAGACCAGACTGACCCAGTCTGGGTCAGAGGCAGGCCAGGATTCAGCTGATGGGCACCAGGACCCAGCCACCATTGCCACTTTTCCTGGCATTTGCTGCCACGGCTTTTCCCCACGGTAACAGTGGACATTTCCCATATGCAGTGATAGCTGGGTTCTAGTGCCCACCCGCTTGCCTCCGACCTGAACTGAGTCCATCTGACTGGCGGAGCTTCACATTCGTAAACTGCATTAAATGGTCTGCAGGCCATAGGCTGCTGACCCCTGGTTTTAAATGTCACTATAAGGTGAAGTTATGCTTGTTTTATGTAACTTAACTTTGCATTTCCATATCTTGAAATGTCTAGATTTCAGTTTAGCATTAACTCTAAATTTCCTGGATTTGTAATGTTTGTTTGAGAGTAATTATGTCTCTGTAATATTAACTCCAGTTTAATAGTTTTTCTCTAGGACTTACTAATTACATTTTACTTGTCTGCCTGTTTAGAACAGGGGATATCAAAATGCCACATTTACCTAAATGCTAGACAACTCTGAATTTAAAATGACCCCCCAGTAATTAGATTTTATACATGGAAAATTTATAGAATTGTTATAACTTCCCACATATAGAGTCTAATTATTGGGGGGGTCATCTTAAAATTATCCCATCCAATGCTGAAACTAGGAAGGCAGTGGCAGGGGGGCAGGTAGTGAGGTAGGCTGGCATGTGGAATGGGGAAAAAACCTTGTCTCAGACTTGAGTATATATGGCAGGACTGCAGGCTGAATGCAGCTCCCCACAGATCTGGAAATTTTGCAGTGGATGAATGGTGGCAGTGTTAACTGCTGCAGCCCATGGGGCTGGATGACTTTGGCAGCACTCATCTAGTATGTTAACCAAGACTGTGACCCTGCAGAGAGCTCTATACAGGAAGAGAGCTCTATTCCAGACTCTCATGGCATTTGTTGTGGGAGCAATGTTTAAAACATTATTACAGTAATAGAACTCGGTAGCCTGTGGATTTCTTCCAACTTGGCTTTTTGGGCTAAGATCAAATGTAACAAGCATTTTATGTTACATTTTCTGTAACTCATGGTTCCCCCAGACTCAAGCCTCTGATCTGGCAAGTTATAGACACCAAAGATTACCACACCTAAGTACATGTATCAGTTTTTCCTCATATATGATGGGATATAAATAAAATTACATTCATGTTTAAGGATTTGCAGGACTGGAACCTTAGGTCGCTCTTCCATAAATGGCTAGTTATGTAGTTATTTGAAACATCAGTCTAACATCGAGCAAAAGAACAGCTCTGATGCTATTTATGTTTGTATGACATTGTACTCCAAACTTTTTACAACACATTGAACAGATGTTTAATGTGTTTGATCCTGGTTAAAACAGAAAAGGTTCTGCTTGGCAAAGCAGTACATAATTAACAACTACTATGTAGCTCTAATTCATCTTTGTAACAGGGAACCCCTGCCCCTGTTACTAGGAAAGCCTGAATAGGTGGGAAACCCAGGACCAGGAAGAGCAGAGGCCCAGGTGGACTGAGCCAGGGACTGAAAAAGCCAGGTGGCTAATGAAGTGGTCCTGGGGAGGGGAGGCAGAAAACCTAGTTGTGACCAGAAAGCTGGGCAGGGGGATATAAGCTGCTGGAGATGAGCATGCAAGCATCCAAGTTGCCCAGGGGAGCTGGAGGTGAGATGACTCCTGCAGAGGTAGGGGCAACATTTACCCTAAGGGAGGAAGGCTATTTGTTTTATGAAGCAGCTGGCTTGTGTTTTTTGTTCCATTTTGTAACTTGAAACCAGAGGACCAGATTGTGGTTGCAGGGGTAGAGGAGGTCAAGAGCAGGGATGCCTGG